TATACTGCTTTGGTGCAGGGTGTAACCTGCTTTTCACCCCATAGTAGGCTTGGACAGGCTCCAGCTCACCAGCCACCCAAATGAGTTCAAGCGCTATCGAAAATGTGTGGATGGATGCATTCCATCACCTGTTGCTTTGGCCCGAACAATGTTCAGTGTGTTGCTTGTTACGTGTCTCGCTGCAGAGGCGTCTTGTCGTAACGCTCTATATCCAAAGGCTTTTGTGTTTTCATTGACCCGCTTATAACTCACAGAAATGCAAAAAAAGTCCAGGGAGACGAGGAAAAGGTCAGATTTCTGGAAAACGTCAATGATCGGTCCAAAGCTGTCTGACAGCGTTTGCAGTAAATATGAATCAGGTCTATTGAGTATACTGTTGTATGTTGTTGTACTGTGTGAAGGTGGCGGCATGTGTATTCTTGCAGCAGGTGATGGGAAAGGAGCACCACTCAACCTTCTACAAGCCCGCAGTGCTTCGGAGAATGTGAAGTGTCAGGAGCGCACAACCGGATGCTAATTTCCAATGCAGATGAATGTTCTTTAAATATCAAGAGGCCAATTATGCTTGAGGCGGAAAACCATATTTTAGCAACATAACATCATACGGCTCACATTAGTAGCAGTAATACGTCGTGCCCCGTGTTCTGCAGTTAGTTCTCATGAGTGCGCGACCGTCAGCAACTAGTTGTGCTGCGATTTGAAATTTGAATCGCACTTAAGTGGCATCATGTTTGCGAACATAATAGCCGATCAAAAATGTCATGTTGTATCACGTTATCTTTGAGATCCACGGTATCATTGAGCATGAAAAGCAAACACGATCCAGCAATAGAACCTCCTGCGACACAGTACCATCTGTGTAGTACAACGTGAGCAGTTACATTCATGAAATAGCGATTAGACACACAAGCATGTAAATGGAATACATCTGAATGCTTAATGGCTAACAGCTAACAAGAATATGACCAGAGATGCTCGCCAACAAATGGCACATTTTTTAACAGCTCAGTGTTTCATTATATAACGGTTGCTTATGAGAATCAGGAATGTTTCAATGGACATGTAAAACATTGCACATATGGTTAATATAGCTTTTTTGATGACAACCGTTCAGTGTCTAGAAGGAATTAACTCACTTTCTGTGGTATTGATGGGGAAAAGAAGGAAGCGTGGCAATTTAAAACTCCCTGCAGCGTGAGGTGTCTGGAGTGGTGAAAAGTCCCTTCCTTTTGATTCCATCCAGCCATTCAATTGTAATTGAAAATGGACACCCACTGCTTATTTTAATTAGACGACGAACACGTGTGCAAGAAAGTCAAAGGGAGTTGTGACAATCAAAATGATGCCTTGAAAGAGCAATTGGCTGTGTGAAAAACTGGCCCCCATCAGGGGTTCTTAAACTGAGGTTCCTGGATGCTTGCGAGTCCCTGAGCTGTCAATTAGGAGTCCACGTAATAATTTCCAAGAATCAATTCTGGCATACCATTTTTAGAAAGTGCATACTTACTGATTGGGGCACCAATAAAACAAATGTAACAAAGCAAATGGTTCAGCTTAGGGCCAATTAAACGTACCTATGATTGTGATGCCTCGTCACAAATCTCACATTCCCACATGAATTAATTTCTTTTTCCCGAGAACAAAAGTGGGTCTTTTTTCAGAGAACAATCCTACAGTAAAATTGCACATTTTAGTGTCACTTAATTGTGGGCAACCAAAAGTTAACCTGTGTGCTGATCATGGTAACTATTATGGTGACACAAAGAAAGTCTTTGAGTTCAGGTGATGAAAAATGGGGGCAAAAAAAGTGCTGTGTTCATATTTCTTTTTGTTATATTCCTGTAATTTACAGACTAAAGCCACAATAGATACATTTAGCCATAAAAATAAATAACTACATATAGAGGCCGCATCGTTTTATGGGACATTTCCGAAAAAGAGGTCACACAGATGGATTAAAAAAAAAAAATTGCTGATAAACTTTTTTTTTTCTCCAAACAATGCCGAACACGGATAGTTACATAGCAGCTGCCCCGAAAATTCTTTGATTGCGTCCCGTCTGTGTATGCTCTGCCTTGACATAAATGCGGATAGTGACGTCATTGTTTACGCACTTGAAAACGGCAGCCGTTGCTTGAATAAAATTGTTAAAACAATCACATCTGGTGTCCCAAATAGATGGATGAACTCCATCTTGATAAACGTTTCCATCAGTCTGTGCGTGTCACATGGCTTTCCTGATAAATGTAGCAGCGCATGTCATTGGCCGATTGGAACAGATCACGACATGTAAAAACAGCATTTTAATTGAGTTCGGTCATTCGCTTTTATCCTAATTGGAATTCAAGGCATCACGTAAACCATGACTCATATGTAGATTGAGCACGACCTCGGACAGTTTCATTGGTCCACTGCGACACGCTGGGCAATTTCATTTGTCAGATGTGACAAGATTATCGGTAAATGTACATTATTGGTTGCAGGAAGGTCGTTTGTGAAATCCATTCATTATGACGTCACATGAAAGCCACAGGGTTCAAAGCGCGGGAGAAAAGTAGCAGCTTGTAGCTGGGAAACTACAGTATGTTCAGATGCAACTTCATTGTCGTACAGTTGCAATGTTCTTGTAATGATGACAACTTTTTTACTGAAAAAAAACAAACAAAAATGTATTCGAATTAATTTTTTTTTCCAAAATGGCACCCGAGCAGGCAGCCATCGACAAGTGCTTTTCAAGAGCCTTGCGTTTTTTGTTGTTTTATGTTGTTTTTGTCTTTTGTTTTGTCACATGGTGTTGTTGTTTCGTCGTGTGGACCTGATGTGGACTGTTTTCAGCATTTTTGGCCACGACATTCGTCAAAGCAGAAGTAGCTGTGCTTGGTGGTTGCTGGCTTGAGGAGTCGACGAGAAGAAAGGAGCGTCAGCACAGAACGCCGATGCGTATGTGGAACTGGGAGTCGTGGCTTGGAATTGAAGCGGATTGACATGGGACAGGAGAAGAGAGCCAATCTCTTTTTTGTCAATGGATGCTACAGCTTCTTGTTGCTTTCAAGCTTAGCTTGTAGCAGATGTGTGCACATTTCAGCATGACGTCTTTGATCCACTGGTGAGAAGGACACTTTGATTCACTCCTCTTTCATCTATTACTGCTTCAAACAACAAAGTGAATGGAGGAAAAGTGGTTAAGATGGCACGACTGTCTATTTTATGTGTTGTGTTGTATTATTTTGTCATTTTATGTGAAGTGTTCTTTTGATGGCGGCGCGGGCACCCGCAGCAGCTCCTCTTGTTGTCTGTTGTCTGTTTAAGACAGAGGAAATTTCATCTGTGCACAACACATTTGACAATAAAGTTATACTTGATACCAGCTCTGATTTTGATTGGGAGGAATGTTGGTGCCATTTGACTGTCATTGCTGGACAGCCCCGGGCGCTTGTGTGTTTTGCGCCTGTAATGGGCAGCATTTTAACAGCCCCACTTTGTGCAGTGGAAAGGTCGGTGCTGCTGGACAGTCTGAGCTGGATGGATGCATGGCTTGAGGAGCTGACGATGAGAAGAAAGGAGCGTCAGCGCGAAGCGCCGATGCCTATGTGAAACTGGGAGTCGCGGCTTGGAATTGAAGCAGATTGACATGGGACAGGAGATAAGAGCCAACCTCTTTTCGTTCATGGACTCTACAGCTTCTTGTTGCTTTCAAACTTAGCTTGTAGCAGACGTGTGCACATTTTAGCATGGCGTGTTTGATCCACTGGTGAAAAGGACACTTTGATTTGCTCCTCTTTCATCTATAACTGCTTCAAACAACAAAGTGTATGCAGGAAAAGTGGTTACGATTGCACGAATGTCTGTGTCTTTATGTGTTGTGTTGTATTATTTTGTCATTTTATGTTAACTGTTCTTTGATGGCAGCGCGGGCACCCGAAGTGGCTCCTCTTGTTGGCTTGTTGTCTGTGCTGTATGTTGCACATACTGCACATTTGACAATACAGTTGTACTTGACTTGACATGACAACTTCTTTCCTCGAAAAAATATATTAATTGGTCAAAGCGGTGATTGTCAGGATCATGTAGTGTCGCCTTGGAAAAAAAGGAGTCCATAAGTGATGAAGTTCTGACTTAGAGGCTTCATATAGTCATACAGAGCAACAACAACAAATATTCAAACCTTGAATCTTACAGTTTTACTTACAAAGTTTTCGGCAACGCAAACAGGCTAACGCTAATGCTTCAACAGCATCTATTCTCTGAAAACAAGTAAAAATACGAGGCGATGAGGAGAATGAAGGCAGTTGCAAGGTCAGTGACTGTGAACAACAACAATTGAACGGAAAGAGGCACTCAGTCAAATTACGCCGGGGGACACAGCTGGGCCAACCACGAGTGCAGGGAGGAGGTGGTGGCTGGCTGTCCCAAGAGGGTCTTTGACTGATGGGACCAGGTGAAACTAATCAGACAAGGCGCACAAACCAGACAGGGGCGACATATCAAGTCCTTATTTGCAATCTCCTCAGCTCTCGAGCCACTTATGAATATGTAAACAGTGTTTACATGTTTCCTTTTATGCAATGACTAAAGCGAGAAATAACTTTCATGCCCCGTTTCAGTTTGCAAACCGAAGTTAAATTGAGTTTTTAGGCATTACTTAGCAATTAGTAAGGTACATATTTAACTTCTAACTTGTTTTTTTACGTCGGTCTTTTTACTTTCGTTCTTTGACGCCTTTAACGACTCGAAACCGGAAGTCAGCACGATTTATGCGTATATTCGGCGCAAAACGGCACTGCATTTGGAACCCTGATGGAAATAATTCCTCTGCCCAAGGAAACCAACAACGCCATCAGTTCATTTCAACTAGACTTTGTCGTAGTCTGCCGTTACCACGCAAGGTTCAGCGGTAACAATTTCAAGCACGTTAGCCTTTAGCCGTTGATAAGGCGAGGATGGGGGAGGGGGGGGGGTGTCTGTGATTGGCCAGCGCGTCTTCGCTCGAGCAGGAGCGCGAGTCCTGCGCTCGTCAGGGAAGCGAAGGTGCGGCTCACTCGCAGGCGCACCGCTCGGTTGCGCTCAGTGCGCGCGCGCCCCTCGGCCACATGCACTAGCCGGGACCATGGATGCGAGCCTCTACCAGATCATATTCGGGGAGCTGGCGGACTTAAATTGCACTTTGCTGGACGCCTTTCAAGACACTTTATGGGGAAACGCGTCACTTTCATATTTGAACACCGACGGTAAGAAGGAACACTTTTTTTCCCTGCACTGCTGAGAGGTAAGGAAATGGCAACTCAAATGGAAGATTTCTTCCTTTCCCCCCCTGTTTTTTTTTTTTAAATCCCTCCCAGGTTTCTACTGTAACGCCACCACCGATGAGATTGGCACCTGCTGGCCACGGAGCAGCATCGGGAGGATTGTGGAGAGACCCTGCCCTGAGTACATTAATGGAGTCAAGTACAACAGCAACAGTAAGATATCTTAATCCTCATGGGGAGAAAAAGAAGTTCCTGATTTTTGTTTGCGGCCGAAGCACGCTTCACTCGCTGTAGTTTGTTGCAAGCGTGTACGACGGGATGGCAATGATGGGGATGATGTTTGATCAGCTCCTGTTACTGAAACAGACGCTCCACATTGAGCATATGTAATGCTCCAAGACAAGCCACTTTCGGTGAGATGGCAACTCTTGGTTTCTGAGAGGCAGGCAGTTTGAGTTTTGGCACATGGGTCAGGTGAATTAAGGTGCTGCATCCTGGATTTAAAACAAAACAAAACAAAAAAAAAAAACAACTGCAGGAACAAGATCTGCTCTCATGGTAGTCATGTGAAAAGCTTGCATTTTGTTTTGTTTGAACAAAAATTGCTGAGTTTAATTCCAAAATTCAATGGCAGATGTGGGGTGAATATGCAGTTCAAATGTACGTCACCCATAGATTTTTTTTCCCCCCAATTTTTGGGTGGTGAATTTTCCTTGGCGTTTCTGTTTTTCTGCATGTACAGTATTCACAGCGTGGCACTTTTCCCACATTTTACGCCGTAGCATTATTCCACAAATAGAATACATTTTGGAATGCGCATTGTTTGCATTTGTGAAACAATGCATGGGAAGAGGACTTTGAAAAAAAATAATTGGATATTAATCCCAACCGCTATGTCAAGGTGGGGGAAAAAAATGCCTATCAGATAATTTTTTTCAAATTGTTCATCCCTAAATTATGCGTGCACGCACACAGACACGGGGCGTGGTAGAGCAAACTTTTGTCTTTGCAAAACAGTGACCTCAAACAACTCATATGGCGCATCAGGACCATGTGTAGTCCCAGGATGAGAATACAAACCTCTCCCGAAGTGGCTGTTTGCTATTGCACAGCTGTTATCTTTACAATAGGCTCAGGTGCAATGTCATTATCACTTCCACTTGTCTGCTTATCTCACTGCAGACACAACCCGTGCTTCTATTTGATGGGCATAGCTGATGTATTGACCCTGCTCCTTGTGGATCAAGTGCTGCCACTTGCATGTGTAAACAAACATTTGGAACCTCGAGGATTTAGAAGATCAATCAGGTAGTCAAGTGTGCTACAGGGCATCCAACGTGCACGGCTGACTCTATCGGCTGGATGGTAGATCATGTAGTTAATCTTGATTTGACGAAAAATCAATGAGGTCAAAATAAGACAGCAAACCCGATCTTATTGAGTCCAGGGACATTCTGTGATCCCATCGTTGGTCTTTTTTTTTTTTTTTTTTTTCTAACTCGCTGACCGTCTCCAAAGTCGTGATCAAGATGCCCAACATGACGTATCCATGAATGAAAAAATCTCTCTCTCTCTCATATATATATATATATGTATATATATATAAAATTATAATTGTGTATGTACCTGCATGTATATGTAGGGCTCTCTTTTCACTTAAAGATGGAGAATATGACCCCCCAAAATTTTTTTTTAAAAAGTAGAGACAACTAAACCGTATTACATATATAAATAAGTTAATTTAACCTCCGACTACTTCCAACATCGTTGCCTTATATTCCAGCACTGAGTCGGCTTAGGTTTGACTCAATCGGTGTGTCACGTCTTGATGTGGCAATTTTTGCCCATGTGTTCTTGCTAAAACGCACCAGCTCTCTTGTTTGCGTTTGACGGGATTTAAAGTATTTGGGCTGTTTTCACCTTGCCACACTACCCCACAGCCTTGACATTTGAAAAAAGATGGTAGATTGTTGTCACACATACTAAGCAGTCAGTACTTGCCAGAAATCCCTGCAGCTCCTTCTATGCTGCTGCTAGCCTCTTTGCAGCCTTTTTCATCAAATCTACAAGGGAAGTCCAGTTCTTGCTAATGTCACTGTCGTGTCATATTTTCTCCACTTGATGATGACCGTCTTCACTGTGCTTCCTGGCGCATTTAATGCTGTGGAATTTCTGTTAAATCCTTCCTCTGACTTTGACCTTCATTAAATGAAAGGAATTCCGTGGAAGCTCTCTTCAAAATGGCTTCTGCTGATGTGATGACAAAAAATTTCAGGAAAAGCCTGATAGAACAGCTGAAATGTATTTGGGGTGAATGGGACGCACATTAAACGGTGGCACGTGTGCTGAGTTTGGATGTGATTGGTTCATTCTGATCACAGCCAAATTCTGAACTCCAAATTTCAAGGCAACGAAATTCAACAACATTTTGAAGTTGGCAAATCAACAAAATATTTTATGTTTTGCTTTTATGAAAAATGCCAGCGAGGCTACTGAGGATAAGCGGTACGGAAAATATTTGCATGTTGTGAAATTAGCTTTCCCCCATCTCACAACAAAGAAATAAGTTTCCAGAACTAATTGTCCCTCGTACGGTCCTCCAATTTAGCGATAGAAGTAAAAACAACTCAGGAAATTATTTTGGCTTGCTCTGTTGTGCTCACTCATATTGCTGCCATGAATGTCAAAAATTAAATTACATTAAATTGCTTTTTTTTTTTTTACACCTCCCAAAAATACAACCTGTGTCTTTCACAGTGTATGTATGTCTCCATCTATCCATTTGTCAACAATCCTTCCGCATCGGCCTGCCGAGATGTTTCATTTCCAACACTCGTGGGCGTGTTTCTATTTGAAACCTCTCCAATCAGTGCTTAAGAGGTGCAGTTTAATGTTTTTTTTTTTTTTTTTTTTACATAGAGATCCACAACATTGATTGTGCATCTCACTTCTGACGCTATCGGCTTCATGAAAGTGCCAGTTTCCTTGGCAGCACGCGTTAGATGCTGCTACATTGACGTATTCAACTTCAACATGAGGCATGAGTGAAAATTATGTTTGGCAACACAACGTTGTGTCTTTCCTGAAACTAAGTTTTCACTTTAATGTCATCGATGCGGACGACTCCCCAATTTCAGTTGGCGATGAATGCACCATGCAAAGCTTCCCTTCAAATAATTTTATCGTTTCAGCAGAGCTGACATGTGAAAAATGGCGGCACATGAGTCCTCTCGGGTATGTTGATGCTGCAGCTGCTGCACCGTGAAGCGCAACATCGTACACATTTTTAAAAGGTTCGACAGGTCCAAGCAGGCCCTTGGCCTGGCTCGATGCTGTCACTTACTTTAGTATGTTGGAAGCAATCATTTATCACAACAAGTCCAAAGTGCGAGCTCTCTGCTCATCTCGAGGCATCCATGACATGATTCGATGAGTAGCTTCCGACGGGAGGTCCTGGAGTTTTGCAGAGGAGGCTGAGTTGATGACAAATGAGAGTTGACCCATACAGCGCACGCGCGCGCGTGCACACACACACACACACACACACCATCTAAGTATTTTCCCCACTATAAAGCGCACCTAAAGGCATTCAATTTTCTCTAAAACCATGTGTGCGCTTTATAATACGATGCGCCTTACATATGGATCAATATTCTGATTTCTTGCACATGGCGAGCTGTGGCGAAAGCTCCATATAAATAAAGCTGTATTGTATTGTATTCCCTTTAGTGTAGCGCCATCTAGTGGATGCATAACACAACCGCAGCCACTACTGTAACTTCTATTCTGTGTGCTTATAATGCAGTGGGCCCTATATATGAAAACTGTTTTAAAAAAGGCCATTTATTGAAGGTGCACCTTATACTCCAAAGCGCCTTATAGTGCAGAATACAGTATATGACGGCAACTATATTTGCATTTCTCCCCAATTGTGCCTGTCAGACCTTGCTCAAAAGGCAAATCTGAAAACTCAACACAAAGAAAAACAGCGTGCATATTTTACACATTGTCTATGTCTGAATGGGGTTATACATTTGCATTCATCGAATGGCTTCCTTGACAAATGGACATGGCACGTTCCTCTCGGCTTCCATCATGAAGCCTCTGGCGTCGTAATAGCACCGCTTGGTTGCTAAACATTCAAGTCAACACAATTTGCAGTTTCACAGCCCATGAAGGTGCAAGCTCCTTGTCATTTCATTTATGTGGTGGATGACTTGCAGTCTGAGACATATTATACAAACATTCAACACAAACAATTTTTCATATATTTGTGTCCAGCCAGAGCGGCAATCTAGTTGCTTCTCATTTGCCAACCACAGACATAAGGTTTTGTGATTTTGAAATACCAAATACATTTAACATTTGCAGTTGTCGTCCAGAAGTTTTTGACCAGATCTGAAAGGAGAAATAACTCTTTAACGCCACACCGCCAGATAATTTGCAGGGATGAGCAACTTCACTGCTGGGGGGGGGTGCACAATTTTTCATCAGTGCCAGTCAGGGAGCACATAGGACCCAGCACACACTACCAAACCAGATGTCTGACAAAAACGCTGTTTTTAATTATGGACAAAAGACGTGCATACGTGCTAAATATGTGCTCTTAATGTTTCCTTTATGATCCTGCATTTCTTAATTACATGTATAAGAGATCCGCTGTCCTAACCCAATGACAAAGGCTTTGAAGGAAACACAAAATACGTACTGGTTTGTTTTTTCCAGTGCAAAGGAATCTCTTGCAAAAAAAAACAAAACAAAAAAAAAAAACATCTTTTCACAAATATAAGCTCATTTACAATTTCAATCATAATGAGGTAGTCCTGTGTTTGTCATTCCAAGTCACCCAAACATATTAGGTCTATTCATGTTGTAGTGTGGCGGCCCGGTGGGCGAGTGTTTAGCACGTCGACCTCACAGTGCAGAGGTTGTGGGTCTGGCTCTGGCCTCGCTGTGTGGAGTTTGCATGTTCTTGCCGTGCGTACCTGCGTGGGTTTTCTCCGGGTACTCCGGTTTCCTCCCACATTCCAAAAACATGCACGGCATGCTGATTGAATACTCTAAATTGTCCCTCGGTGGGAGTGTGAGCGCGGATGGTTGTTTGTCTCTGTGTGCCCTGCGATTGGCTGGCAACCGGTTCTGGGTGTCCCCTGCCTACTGCCCGAAGACAGCTGGGACAGGCTTCAGCATGCCCCGCAACCCTTGTGAGGACA